AATATTGCATAATTATTATCAAATATTTTTGCATTATCATATATATATATATGTGTGAGAGAAAGCAAAACCTATATAATTTTGCAAATATTACATTAATAGGTCAAGTTAAACTCAAAATATTTTACATAAATCTAACTTGTTTAGGTCAAAGCATAACTTAACCTATTTATACTTATACAAAATGCCCATTAAAGCACTAACTAATCCTTCATCAAAACACCAATTAATCCTTATTTATAAACACCACTACTACTACTTTAACACATTGTTAGGTCTCTTTGAAGTCAAAGAGAAACATCTAGAGAATTATCAAAGGAACAATGAGAATTTTTATTCAATAATCGACAACTGAGGTTACATTTCTTTTTTATTCAAACACATGTACACTTGACTACTATTTCATGCCACGTGTTTCTACAGATGTCATATTTTCCTTCCATCTATTTGTTACAATATCTTCCTAACAGTAATAGTTCCTGAGCTTTGAAGAATGGATTCTTTCTCTACTAGTTCTTCTTCTTACTTATGGTTCTCCTCCTCTAACACACATTATAACATTATTGAAAAATTTGACGTTACATGCAAATTACTCGCTAGTTAAAATATAATGATGAATGTTCTTTGAGAAACCAAAACATAACCAAGTGTTACCTTTTTTACTGGTCTTAATTTTTTTTTATTAAGATGCATTATACAATATAAAATTGTCTTCATTTGAAATTAAACTTAAGTATTTTAAACGATGACCATATGCATGCAGCAGGCTGAGAGAAAGAAGCAACGGCGTGCGAGGAATATACATGCGGCGTGCGGAGAGACGGCCGGCAAGAAATAAATCAGATGGCATAACTAATTTAATTTTTAATCATAAACGAACTATTAGCTGTTTTATAATGAAATATTGAAATTCTAAACAATCTTTTTGTTCTTCTCATTTTACCGTAAGTAATGGCCTTTTGACCTTTTGTGCTCTTTTTTATGCGGCTGCACTTAGCGGTTGTGTTCAGGCTTCATTTAACCTATACCATTATTTAGCTATTAAGATTACAGGAGATAAACGTACATAACTATCGTTAACGTGAAATATTACTGGTCAATTGTACGGTAGTTGATAAAGTTTTTCTACAAGACTACGAATAAATCTTGAGTACTGCTGCTGTACCAAAGATTCAGAACATTTTACCGATGAAAATATTACATATTAGTTAAAATTCTATTTTTTCTGTCAGATTTTTTCTCTCTCCTCTGATGTATAAATGTATTTTTTATTTTATTTTGCTATTCAGTTGTAACTAATTGGAGCTGAGCCGGATATTATTCTGTTAGGACCAATGTGTGGTTAGCGTGTGCATCTTATCATTCTGTTATGATTCCTCTTTGTAATTGCTGATATATACGGCCCTTGTATTTTCACTCTCAATTCAATCATGAATACAGACAGATGAATATTCAATTTACTGTAGAGTTTTATATTTTAGCTAATAAGAATCGTACCATGCAATTGATTAATTTTTCTTTTATTAATTATAGAGATATCAAAATGGATCAACATGACATGAATTTGACATCACACAAATATTTATTTACTTCAAAATCTTCAATCCAAACATGACTTGAATTTTTTGCGAGTTGACACGACACAACACGAATAATATGCAAATTAATGATTAAAACTATAATTGACAAAAAAAAATAAGTTGAAATCTAAAAACAAAAAAAAATACATTTTATAAAAATACTGGTCAACACGAATTTAATATGATACGAAATTTTTTTAGAGTCATTTTTTCCAATACGAATACGACACAATTTTTTTTATGGATCAATCCAAACACAAATTTTTGTGTCGTATCGCGGATCGACCCGCGTGTCATAACCTGTTTTGACACATCTAATTAATTGGCAAGTAGAAGAGTGAAAAATATTTATGCATCAGTTTTGTACGGACATTACATGTATTTATATTAATTTCAAAACAACTTAGTTATTATTGTAATGTCAAAGAAGCTCAAGAGTTAGACATTAATTTTTTTAGTTTAACAGGTAAAAATGATAGTAAATAATAAGTTATTTTAAGATTGTGAGATATGATATTAGTAATATATCTGAAATTTCAATAACGTAAGTAGAGTGCTGCATAGTGACCTTTATGAGGAGAGATTTGAGTTACGTAAGAAATGTAGAGTTATATGAATCTCCTTAGCTAATTAATTTAGTCAACCAGTGTTATCGATCAGTATAAAAATTGGATTTAATTGCCATATAATGTAAATGTAAAAAGGTTTTACAGTAACACTTACTAATATTTTAACGCATTATTGTTTATTATTTTGACTTTATCTAATAAAGAATGAGATGATGAATAACAAAGTAATGATGTAACAATATATTAGTAGGTGTCAGTATAAAATTCATTTACATCGGAATAATTACATAGCCCACCAAAGTTAAAGGCCCAGAAAAAACCTAAGCAGTACACAAGTCCCATAACGCGAGATACAAGTATTGCGCAGAAGGGCTAAAAAGCGCAATGGTCTCATAACGCGAAATGCAGGCATTGTGCAGAACCGCCTTATGTAACTTAAAGGTTAAGGAAAGATTCAGTAACAGGCTAGGATCCACCGCGCATATAGACCAACGCACAAAAGATAGCTCCAGCTTACTACCACTCTAAGAAGACAAACAAATATGTAGACTTATAGCCTGAAAGGCACCAGCTGAAACAGATAAGTCTGTAGTCCATAACAACTAATAAGAAGGCATGCCGCCTACCAAAGGCGACATAAGACTTGCTATAAATATGAAGGGTACAAACCCAGGTATGATTATCTGATTCCGATTGTAAAGAACCTTGGTATACACCACCCCAAAAACTAGCTCAAAGGATGGGAGTGCCCAAGGCCTTATAAAGGCCACATTAGTTGTCCACACAATCAACGTGGGACTATATATCTCAACACGCCCCCTCACGCAATAGCCCTTTGGGCTAGAAGCGTGGAACTGCAATGGCCCAATTTTTGGTTCACTTTTTTGTGCTTTTTATTTTAATTCCACTTGAAAGTGGGGGCCGTGAGAATCGAACTTGTGACCTTATAGTCACTCAAGCTCTGATACCATGTAAAGAACCTTGGGATACACCACCCCAAAAGCTAGCTCAAAGGATGAGAGTGCCCAAGGCCTTATAAAGGCCACATTAGTTGTCCACACAATCAATGTGGGACTATATATCTCAACACCCATAAAACATAACATAAACCTAGCATTGATACTGAATTAAGCATCGGAGTGTCTTTGCAGGTACCTCCAGTCATCTTCATTGCGCCAGAAGTATTCACCAACCCTCAAATACTCAGTGTATGACTCAAGCCCACGAAGCACTGCATACATCCCAAAGTCTTTATCTTTCAACTGTGTATGATTTAGCCCAATTCATATTGGACTGCTCTGATCAACATCCAATTTAAGCTTCTTCTTTTTTTGGTACAAATGTAATGTTGGTTCAAAATATACTTTTTTACCCTAGTAATAAAATATTTAATTTTAATTTAATATTATTGTAAGTCTTTTTTTAAATCATTAAAAGATACAAATACTTTTAATATTTTATTACAAGGTGATATAGTAAAAACCTTAACACCATAAATAGATCGAAATTAAATTCAACAAGAAAGGAATAATAATATAACTCAACAAATGGTATCCATGAACTTTATTTCTACTAAAACGATTTTGACTATAAATACTAATAGATCTAGTAATAGATGGTTTAGTTTATATATATATATATATATATATATATATATATATATATATATATATATATATATATATATATATATATATATAGAGGCAGGATACACCGGTGTATATATCTAAGAGCCGTTAGATTAAAAAAAATCATTGGTGTCACATGCTTACAAATCAGAATCGTTGATTTTTTTTAATCTAACGGCTCTCAGATGAGGTGTCAAACTTTTTTTTTGACACCGGGGTCAAAGGATCCTGTCTCATATATATATATATATATATATATATATATATATATATATATATATATAGTAGAAAAGAAAATGACACATTTTTTTACTTCCCATATTAAATAAATAAGAAAATTTAATATAAATTAGATACGCCCCCACAGAAGTCACACTAATAACTAATAATTATTAATTTCAAGTGATAAAGAACTTCTAGCAATTAATAATTATTAGTTCAAGTGATAAATAATTTTTTAAGCTTGAGCACATAGAAAGTGAGAATATATAAAATAGTGTTGGGAGAGTGTTTCCAGTATAAATTTGAGATTACTCTTCGATCTAGTTGATTCTTTTTAATAAATTACAATTTACAGGTATCTTCCACGGAGACCATCCTTAAACTTTAATATACAATATCTAAGGAAGAATCTCTCCAACAAAGTACATGAGAATATTGAGAACAGATGCATTAAGATTGTATCGCCTCCGAAAGAGAAACAATATATGTTGTAGACAAATTAGGAGTTTGACTAAATAAACGGACCTTATTTTCGGCCATTTATGAACGGACATTGAAAGCCAATTGGAATTAACTCCTTATGCACTCCCGTATTTCTACGTCAACGTACAACGACAGATCCTAACTATTGTCTATTTGCAATTTGCAATTAAATTGTTGATATAAATTTTAATGCTCCAATAATCTTTTACAAATCTCCTTTCTCTTGTCCTATGTGTGGTTTTAGTCAAAGAAAGACAAACCTGAAGAGAAGTTAATTCGTCATGAATCTTGGGTTGACGACTGACGTGTTTTACATTTTCTAGAACGTTATAACGATGATTGCTGATGAGGTTGTTTAAATGAATTTCGCTTATTACCATTCATTCATAAGAAACCAAAAGAATAGCTCCTTAATTTCCTTGTTCTTAATTATTCTTCTAGTTCTAGAGAGTCATGAAACATACACATATGCAAGTGAAGAGGAGCTAAACAAAACAAGAGAAAGCGAACATGCCATAATTTGAGCTGAATTATTATTACAAAGGATTTTAAAAGACACCCTTAGCCTAGAATCAGTCAAACACTCATCACCTAGCTAATTAAGCATCTAAATTGCTCGATCATATGAAGAGATCGAAATCGGTTCCCTTTTATACAATATATATATATATTTTATTGTTTTCTTTAAAACAAACTAAGGGAGGTGCAAAATACAAAAAAGATATATATTCTGAATCCATATTATTGCTATCTATTGGTCGTACAGTCCATCTAAAAGAATTCCCCATATATTGAACCATTGTGAAGTAGGGACTAGGGTGTTCATTTTCTTTATTCCTCTTCAACCTTTTCTTTCTTTCTCCATTGCTATTATGATTGTGTTAAAACTGAAAAAGACAAATAGTTGCAAAATGCGCGTCAGGCTTCAATAGGTCCACTCTTGAGGCAGAATCATCTCACTTTCGATATTTGCCTGTTTTTTCCGTGATTGGCGCTTCTGTAGTGAATACATGCCAGCTCTGTCACTCACTAAAACATCTGCAAACCGTATTAGGTATTAATAACATACCAACTCAATTAGATGGATATATTCCAATTTCCTACTCAATAACCGTGACATCTCACTCACTAAATGATAATATAATTGGATTTAAATAATCAACATATATAGCTTATACTAACTATAATTAGGTACCATGTAGGGGAGGGAATCCACCAGCTTTGGGTCCAGACGTGGCAGCCATTTGGTCAAAGTGGAGTTGCAAAGCCTGTACTACTCTAGCGGGTATAAGAACAGTGGAACAACCTTTACCTGACCAAATCACAAGTAAAAACATTACTTTCCATGAAACATGTACAACAATTAGATTTTGTTCGGGGATTCGCTGACGAAGAAGAATCTGTGCAAAATTGATCACTACTGTTTATTCTTTCTTTCCCAAAAAAATATCTTTTATAATTGATCTTATACTTTAGCCGAAACAAATCAACCGAAAGTATCAAACATGTGCACCATCTATCCTATAACATGGAATATTAGGGAAGATTTCGGTCCAAACTGTAGAGAATATTTGATTAAAAGAATATCTAAAAGGAATGCAAAGAAGCACTATAGCCATATACAGGGTCGGTCACACCAAATCAAAATAGAGTTGAAAACTAATCCATATATTAAACAGATTAATGTTTCTTAATTATAATACAAGAAATAATTTTATTTTCTACGTACATGTAAAAATGTGTAAGACTCATGTGAAAAAAGATAAAAGTATTTCCTGAAATATAAAACACATTAATCTCTATATTAAATGTGGGATGGTTGATATTCCATATCATGAACCAACTGCTCCAACGACCAGTGAACAAACAACTACAGGAAAGGACTCAAAAAACGAACCACCGTCTGAATTAAATCTTAAAAGCGACTGAACCGGACCAATGACATGGTTAAATTAAATTAAATTACCTGGTCTCTTACGTGACTCGGATGGGGCACTAGTTCCGCCACGTGGCAAGAAAACACCGGTCCCACAAGGTGTGCCTCTTGAACCGGATTTACCCAGGAAAAGCGGGAGCATCTCCGAACCAGCTTGCTTCGGCGGAGGAGGAGCAGGCCGCGGTGGACGAATCCTCCGTCCGTTTACGGACCCAACATCAACAACCCCTTTACCTTTCTTCTGAAATTGCTGTGATAGCATGACATGATTTTCCCTATATGCGGTGAGTTTTTGCTTCAGAGACAGAATATGCTCTTTCCTGAGCCGTGACAACTATAACAAGGAAACATAAAATAAAAGAGAGTTAAAGATGTGTTTTTTTGGAATGGGAATCAGCCAAAAACAACAATAGGGACAGGGTGTTAATGTTATCTTACTTGATCAGCTCGAATTTGTTGCTGAATTAGAGATTGGTATGAAGAGACTCCAACATTGGAGGTTTCCAAGCTCTGAATCCCATAACCAGGGTGGTATTTAGAATCGCCTCTTTCGTCAAGCTTCATCTTCTCAAACATACCCACCACGTTGTTGGTGTTTTCCCAACAAGAGTCATGGTTGTTCAAAGGCAATGATTCCTGAGAGGACCCTTCAGGGCTCCTTTGATTTTTGCCCAAAGGTGACCAGAGAGTTGATTGAAGCGAACTAATTGAATCCCATTGCTTCAGGAGAAGAAAGAAAGACAGAGCAAGACACTTAGGTGCTAAAAACTAAGGTATATATAAAAAATGGAAAAACAATAAACAAACTAATACCGATTCCAAATTCTGAGAGCCAATGCATGAGAAATCGAATTTGTGGTCATCTTGAAGCATGAAGTGAGCCATCTGACGAGTCAGCTCGGCAACGAGATCGTCCTCCTTATCGTTCCCCTGTGCCTCAGTAAAATCAGCCACTTGATTTATATGCGACCCAAACTCGTGGGGAATCAGCACTTTTGGCTTTAAATCTGAGCCGTTGATGTTGTTGTTGTTGTTGTTGTGATTGAGGTCATGTGGTGGCAAAGTATGTTGTTCTTGCTTATCAGGGAGGAGGAAGAGATAAGAGTCCCCAGTGTGTAGGTCAACAGCCATAATAAAAGAAGTCACTATGATCAAATAGGGAAGGTGGGTGGGGGGGACTTTGATATTACTTTGATTATTAGAACAACAGAGTGTGTGTGCGCCCCCAAATGGCACTCTGTTGGTTGCTTATGCTATTGCTAACTGAGGGGGTCAGAAGAAAAAAGTAGGTGTTTTAAGGAAGCAAGCGACCACTTTTAAGGAAGAAATAAAGACAAGAGTTTGAGATTTGGAACATGGGGGAAGGGCAAAAAAAGAATATTACTCCTAGGCACAGACAAATTGACAAAGCCTTAGATTAAGGACCGAGAGGCAAGAGACATATGAGGGGAGGACGTGTTATTTTTAAGATGCCACTGAGACTCGGTGGGGCCCAGTGCCTGTTGGGGTTTCTGATGAGAGCCTTTTCATGCTCAAAGGTCGGCTTTATTAGTTGGACCGTACATTTAACCAGCTGTGCGTCTCACCACCCATTTGTTAACTTTGCAACATGCGAACAACTTCAACCGTAAAAACCACTTCAATGGATAATATGAAAAATCAAATCAAATAAAAATTGTTAACTTTATTAATCTATTTGCAAGAGATTAACGATTAAAAAACAGAAAAATAGTTATATTTACAAATATTTTATTACAAACTTTTTCAGTTAAGAATATACTTCCAAGAGTACTTAATATAATTTATAAATATAACATATTCTTATAAAATATAAGTCATTAGTTTTTCAAAAAAAAAAAAAAACTCGTTGTTAGTGTCCAGAATCTGGTTGTGGATAGTGATTGTTTCTTTAAACCATGCATTATATATGTTTGAGTCAGTTTGACTTTTGTTTTAGCTCAGTTTGGCAACGAAATAAGATAATACATTAAGACGTCATTAGAATAATTTATATGAAATTATTCAGTTAAATCTTTCATAATTTGTAAAATATTGATGTAGGAGCGCGAATCATGGACGTTAATTCTTTCATTTGCCATCTCACTTAATACAAAAATTTGTCCAACTTTTGTTTGTAATTGAAGACACACACACTCTCTCTCTTACGCACATACACTATATATGTGAGTAAAAGAACTTGAAATATTTTTTTAGGCTTATTTACCACTTTGAGCAAATAAAATAAAATTATTATCACTTGTTAAGAACCTTGGGATACACCACCCCAAAAGCTAGCTCAAAGGGTGGGAGTGTCCAAGGCCTTATAAACTCCACATTAGTTGCACATACAACCAATGTGGGACTATATATCTCAACACGCTCCCTCACACAAGAGCCCATTGGGCTTGAAGAGTGGACAAATGCAACAGGCCCAGCCTACCTGTGCTAAGAAACGCCACAAGAGAAAGTGGGGAGCGGCGAGACTCTGATACCATGTTAAGAACCTTGGGATACACCACCCTAAAAGCTAGCTTAATGGGTGAGAATGTGCCCAAGGCCTTATAAAGGCCATATTAGTTGCTCATCCAATCAATGTGGGACTATATATCTCAACACGCCCCCTCACGCAAGAGCCCTTTAGGCTAGAAGCATGGAAATTGCACAGGCCCATTTTTGGTTTTACCTTTTTGTGCTTTTTTTATTTTAATTCCACTTTTTAAAGCGGGGGACAGTGAGGCTCTGATACCATGTTAAGAACCTTGGGATACACCATCCCAAAAGCTAGCTCAAGGGGTGGGAGTGCCCAAGGCCTTATAAACTCCACATTAGTTGCACATACAACCAATGTGGGACTATATATCTCAACGTCACTTTTGAGTAAACTTTAACGTATTTTAATGTGATCGTTGCATTTGCAGTCTCATGGGAAATGCGGAAGTTTCATGTGTTGACATGTGTCAGTATCGGAGCAATTTGATTAATTTTTTTACTATTAATTATATTTAATTCTTATATTTCTAATATTAGTTGACCAAATGACCATACTGATGCCATTTTTAAAAAAAATTGTAATGCAATTCTTAAATTTATTACCAATTTAAATGAGTTATTTGAGGATTACAAGTTGCAAATTCTCACGCCCAATTTGCTGTGGCCATTTCATGTTTTTCTTTTTTTGAGTTTTCTTAATGTAATACTTAACTGATAGCCAAAGACTAATCCTTTCGAGGCGTAAAAATTATTGAAGTGGATTTTGCCTCTACCAAAAAAGTATCTTTATAATTTGATGATATTTTTTCATTTTCATGAAACAATTCGAATATTTTATATAATTTAATAATACTTCGAAATTATTTTAAACAATCATAATATTTCATAAATAACTGTAGTATTCAAATAATTATTGAGCAAGATATCACTCCCACTCAATTTATAAATTTTATTAAATATTTAAATTTTTCTAAAAAAATAAATATCAAGCTATTATTATTAATAATAAATATGATATTTTTTAAATTACATGATTTCTGAAAGACTGCAAACGATAAATAATTTCTCCTCGGACAAATAAGAATTAAGGTTTTTGACTAAATTATTATGTTTAATTTACCAATATTTGATAGTTTTAACCTAGTATAGTCATTTTGTCATAACTTATTCACCTTGATAATTTATTTATTTTTGTAAAAAAAAGTGACATTAAAGTATTATGGTAGATATATTTACAGTTGCATAACTATTTGAAAGAGATGAATATCAAATTCAGTAAATAAATTAAAAGGTTGAATATTTACAATAGAATATATTAAGGTAGATATGGGTCTATTTGGATGTGTTAGGATTGTGGCTTTCATATTCAAGAGGAGGTGAATTAAGTATTACAAAATTTTCGTAAAAGTCTCATTCTAGTTTCTAAGTTGTAATTTCAAGCACACTTTAACGTATGAAAAACAAATCAGTATATTCAAACAATCTATAACATATAATATATGACAATCATAAAGCCTCTGCTAGCACATACAACATATCAAAGAAGTCCTTAAAGTGCTAGAAATAAAGACTGAGGGTTTAGAAAAATGCAAACTCCATATATCCTGGTTCGATCACTACCACTTGTGACCTACGTCCAGACTGAAGTCGATCGATCAATTATTTCACTATTCATCAAGACTCACAGGTGCTTAACAAATCACTACAATCTTCCAAAACTTTGGGCTCTTGGATGTTGGGTTTGCTCTTTTACTAAAGCCCAAATGGGTTATTAGTATGAGAAGAGCCCAAGGAACCTAGAGCCCAATGAGCTAGGGTTTCTTGGAACCCATATAAATAGTATCTCTTAAGTCATCAGCCGAGGGAAGGTCTTTTTTGTGAAAAAGAGGCAAGCTCAGAATCTATCTAATCAGTGCCCACACACTTCCCCTTCCTCCTCGAGAGATAGTTTGGAAGATCTGTCACAGTCCAGCTTCAAGGAGGTTGTTCGTGCTGCGGCGCTGGGGTGAGCTGTTCGTGAAGAGGAATCCTACAAGGGAAGATTCTACACGAGACCTGCGCACCGAGAGGTAATTGTGAAACAAGGATGATTCGGTAAGCATACCAATGTACTAGGTCCTAAACCGCTTCCGCATAAATCTAAGGTTTCCTACAATTTGTATCAGAGCCTTGGTTGTACATTGGTATGTGAATCTAGTTTCACTATTCATGTAATTAGTTTTGCTTCTTGAAATGTGGCACCTAGGGTTCTAGGATTATGGTATGAATCTAGCATGTGTATTTTATAATTCATTTTCATAAAAGTTTAAATTTTAATCGGTAAAAATGCTTTAATCCATGGTTAGGGTCTCTCGTGTATTTCTCGATTTGTAACAAGGAGGCTAATCCCATATGATTAGGTTTCCTCCTTGCTGTTTTTTTAAATTTTTCGGAATTTTTGTGTATTTTTCAATATTTTGTAAAAATTCAAGATCGAGAAACCGCGAGGAAGATGCGCAGTCAGTACTGTCGGAGACTTTTCGAGGTCTTCCCGATCTCGGAATGAGGCGATCTATATATGGTTGGAAAGAGGACGGAAAGGAACGCAACGGTGGGTGGATAGCCTCCATCAGACACTCCACGCTCCTCCACGCGCCTCCACAAGAGGCTGAGAGTGGCCGCCACTCTTCGGCAAAGAATGGGAGAGTGAGGGAGCGTTCGGCCACCTTTTTGGGTTGTTCCGGCGGCGGTGCACTCGTCTCTACGTGGTGGTCCTTCCCCTGGAGTTTCAGCCTGATTTGACTTCGGGTGACGGCGCGGCAGACCTGACGACCAGGGTTCCTCTTTCGCGTCCTAGGGTTTCTCGCCAAAGGATTGGGTCTTTGGGCCCATGAAACCCTAAAGGGGCTTGAGACAGATACTATGGGCTAGGCGAAAGTCGAATTTCAAAGTTGTATTATTTAATTTTATTTAATTTTATTTTCTTTAAAATAGGAAGGCCATGGATTAAAGTAATTATGATTTATTATTTAATGCTTTTATTGATTGGTATAAATTATATGATTGATAACATGCTTTATTGCGATAACATGCCATATAGAATAGGTGGTGCCATATTGTTGCATAACTTGTATGATTGCGTGAGCATAATAGCTATTATGTCTTCAGCGACTAGTATAATAGTTATTATGGGATTATTTTGATTTTAAATCATCCTAAGAAATTAATTAATAATTATTATGATTTTTATTAAAAATCTAGATTAATAATTGAATTAATTAATTTTGGATAATTAACATCAAGACAAATAATCGTTATGGAAATTATTTTGATTTCAAATTATCCTCATAAATGATAATTATTATGATTGTTGCAATCTAGATTAATAATTAAGTCAGCTATTTGGATGATTTAAATCTAGAAAAATAATTAGAGAAAATTTCCTAATAGAATTCTTTTATTTTGCGAGTAATTTGTGGGTTTTCTGAAATGGTCATGGAATAACACACACTGCATACAACATTCATGTATCATGATTGTTTGGAGCACACGCTGATGTAAAGTGACCGGATTTCAGGACCTTAATGCTTTCAAAATTATGTTAAGCTTAGTGCACGTTTATCGGCGCTCTTACTTATATAGTTTTTGAAATCGAACAAAGGATACTCTCAATTAAATAATTCTTGGAAATTGGAAAATATTGCTTATGTTGAATGGAAGGAGATTTAAATTAAGAAATTAATTTAACCTACAAGCGCATTTTAAGGACCATTGATAAAATAATCATGTGAAGTCTCATCGAATAAGCATGATT